CAGCGAGCTTTTACTTCAAATAAATTTTATTTAGTAGAGTATCATATTTTGTTTCTTTTAAAAATTATTTATTTAATTCCATTTGTTATTTTAAAAATTTGACCAGAGACAGAGAGAGAGAGAGAGAAGGGGAAAGGAAAAGCAAGAAAGCAAGCCACTAGGTCCAGGCCCTGAATCACGGTCAGCCATGTGGGAATCCAGTGCCTTCAACCACCATGCCACCTGCCGGCCTGAGTATCATGTGTATATATTTTTAAAGAGTCATTTCATTTAACTTTATTTACTTTAATTTGATCAGAGAGGGACAGAATGAGAGAGAGAGAGAAGGTGAGAAGGCAAGCTGCCAGGTTGGGACTGGTCGGCTCCATGGGAGTCCGGTGCTCTGCCACCTGCCGACCCCGCGAGTATCATATTTTGAAAGATCACATTATTTTAAAATGTAAAATGGTTTTGAAGTTTGTTTTTTAAAAAAACCACTTGGTACCATATCAAGTGTAACTGTCGCCCTGTTTATTCCCTAATTAAATCAGCAGGCCAAGAAAACAGAAAATGCGTTGTAATTAAGCTGTAAAATGTAACCATACTTAAACATCATGCTTTCTATTAGTCTCAACTTAATATGCACGGAGGTCTACATAGAACCAGCTTTCTCCCTCAGCGTTTTTCAACTATAGGGAAAAAGAGAAAGCATGGGGGCCACCAGGTGGTGGGGGAAAGGAAACTAAATTCCACACGGCTGTCGAGGGCGGGACCTAGTAGGTTGGGAGCACACCAAGTGTGTGTGCGTGTGTGTGCACGTGTGCGTGTCCGTCCAAAATCCTGAGAGGAGAACGGAGGAGAGATTGTGGCATGCCATCCCCTCTGGGGGTGATTTCTCTCTCTCTGTTTCTGGCAACCACATGTACTCTACATCAAACTCAAAAACAAGAACAAAAACTCGACCTCAACCAGAACCCCAGTGCGCTGTGTCAGTCTGTCCCCGATTCAGACTTGGAACCTTCGGATTAGCGAGTTCTCACATACGAATGGAAAGCGATTCTGAGTCTTCACAGGTCATCAATAAAGGGGACGGTGGGAGCTTTAGACAGGTGGTCGGAAAGGGCCCCTCTGACCAAGTATTTGAGCTGAGTAAGATGAGGCAGCCACGGAAAACATTAAGTGTTCCTAATCGAGGGAAAAGTTAGGCCAAAGAAGACACAGCAGCAAGCTCCCTCCGTGAGAGGAGGACTGCCACTGTGCGAGAAGGAAGATGGAGGGAGTCTAAACCACAGAGGGGACACACGGACACTTACATACACACACAGAGACACGGGGCATACACACCGACACACACAGACACACACATAGATGGACAGACACACACACACACACACACACACACACACACACACACACACAGTTTGCTGTAGGGTGCATGCCCTTGCCAGAGAGAGAGACACATAGGGAAAGTGAGAAATCACCCCCCCAAATGGGATGACCACACAATCCCTTCTCCTCCATCCTCCTCTTGGGATTTGGGGCACACACACACACATGCCTGGGGTGTTTTCTAAGCCACCAGGTCTAGGACTCAAACCGCACAGTCTATCATGTGAGACCCTGCCATCTTAACCTCTGAGCCACCCGGTAGCCTACATTTATTCGTTCATTTTAGAGAGATTTTTGCTAGAGGGTATGTGTGCTCGCTAGAGAGACGAAGCGAGAAATCCCCCCCCATGGGGGACTGCCATGCCTCAATCCCTTTTCCTCCATTTTCCTCTTGAGATTTTAGGAGTATACACACACACACACACACACACACACACACACCACACACATGCTCAGTGTGATTTTCAAGCCACTGGGTCCAGGACTCGAACCATGGAAGGCCATGTGGGAATCCATTACCTTAACAATACCTGCTGGCCCCCACATTTATATAAATATATTTTAAGAATTTTTTTTTCCCCTTATGGCACGTGTACTTGCCCAGGGCAGAAAGAGAGGTGCAGAAACAGTGAGAGGGAAAGCGAGAAATCACCCCCTAGGAAGGATGGCCACACAGCAATCCCTTCTCCTCCATTCTTCTCCCGGGATCTTGGGCACGCACGCATAAGTGCCTGGTGTGATTTTCAAGCCACTAGGTCCAGAACTCGAACCACAGTTGGCCATGTGGGAGTCCAGTGACATAAGCACTATGCCACTTGCTGGTCCCCCACATTTATATTTTAAACACTAGTATCCTTCTGTTGAATGGACTGTCTACTTCCAAACCAAGTTCTAAGGGCTATTAATAATATTGGACATTTTAAACTCTACTACACAGAAAACTATTAGTTCACATAGAAACAAACATTTCTAAATTGCAATTCCTACAACAAAAATAAAAACCTTCAATGTCTCAAAAACTATACCATTCAGTAAATAAAAGTCTAAAAAGGAAAAAGCAGATGGTCAACTTTAAAAGATGTTAGGATTCATTCCATGATTTTGCAAGTGTTCAACAATTCCAGTAGCAAAGCATGTGGTGGTATAACCCAGCCTCTATAATCTTTCTAACAAAGGGGACAATTCAACAAAACTTGGTCACATGGCTGTAGTTTAAAAAGGCATTCTGTATTTGAATACACATTCCAAATAGCAACTAAATTTTTAATGAAAATTACAGTCGCTAAGTAGATAGGTCTATTATTGAACAATAATTATTTAAATTAGTCCGTTTAAAATGACACGTTCCATTTCAATGCCTGTCTTCCCCCCTCCTGGACCACAGCTCTTCCTTCCCCAGCACTTTATACAAAGTTTTCCAAGGCTCCAGCAGCCTTCAGCTTGGCTAGTCCCTGTGTACTCTTCAAATCTCAGCCACGGCCCACCTGCCAACCTTCTAACCTAATCAGTCTCTAGATTTCTACCCCAAATTCCGGCCTACTATCTCTGGTCTCCTGTGTGACATTTTCGACTCACTACCCTGCTTAGATTATTTAAAGCCAGGCCAGGGACCGGCAAGTGACGTGGTGGTTAAGGCCGACCACAGTTTGAGTCCCACACGGCTGACCATAGTTCAAATCCCGGACCTGGTGGCTTGCTTTCTCACTTTCCTCTCTCTCTCTCTGTCTCTCTAGTCAAATTAAATTAAATTAATTAATTAAATTGAATAAAGTAATTAAAAAAACAAAAACAGCCAGGCCAAATGGCATGTAGTTCATAAAGCTGCTGGATCCCAATTCCACGTGGCCAAATTTGTGGCTTGAGTTCCAGACCCATTTGAGTCCCTGTGTGTGTGTGTGTGTGTGTGTGTGTATGTATGTATGTGTATATATGTGTATGTCTGTATGTGTGTATGCACATGTGTATCTGTGTATGTACACATGTATGTCTGTATGTGTGCAGGCGCGTGCATGTATATGTACACATGTGTCTATGTATACGTGCAGGTACGTGTATGTTTGTATATGTAGACGCACATAAGTGTGTGCATGTATGTGTACATATGTGTCTATATATATGTGCAGGTATATATATGTATGTATGTACATGTGTGAGTGTGTGTGAAAGGGACCCAAACCCAGAGGGAGAGCAGGAGGAGAAGGGATGGTCATTCTCCATGGGAAGTGTTTTCTCATTTTTCCTCTCGTCTGAGTACATGTGCCCTCTGGCAAATTTTTTTAAAAAAAGAAACATTATTTAAGAGCAAATTCACAATTTTCTTTCCCAAACCAATCTTTTTCCAAACTCTACTTATTTATGACACTGTCTCAGGCATCACGCTCAAAACTGTAGGGCTTCTTTGTCGGGCTCCCGTCAGCTCTTCCTGGTGAGCTATGAAGCTATGAGTGAGGTGACTCTCTGGGGTTCCCCTCCTTTCTCCCCCCTCTCCCCTCCACTGGGGTGACTTCCCTGCCAGCCTCCTCCCTTCTCCAGGGCTGCTCCTGCCTCTTTCCTGGAAGGCTGCCGCCCAGGCCGATTTCTCCTGAAACACCAGATCAATCTTCCTGAAGTCACTCTGACTAAACCACACCCCTGCTAAATATCCGAGACACCCATCTCAGGGGGTCTTTGGGAAAATTAGTCTCTGTGTGTGTGAAAGTATTTTGTAAATATCAGCTACACAGACAGAAGTCCTCCTTAGAGGTTAATTTTTTGAGTGGACTTCATCCTTAGAGGTTTATTCTGTGAGTTTTCCTCCAAACACAAAAAGAAAAGATACATAATCAGAGGAATTTCAAAGGCCAGGGAGTGGCCGGTGCTTATCAACTTGTCTGCAAAGAAAGCTTTACCTCCCAGGGCAATCCCTCCCCTTTACCTCCCAGGGTAATCCCTCCGTTCTCAGAGACTTGCAGGGCTGGTTTACACACATGGCCAGGCTTCTTTTCTCCTAACACCAGGCTCAACGCTCAGGCTGGCTTCCCAAAGATAAAGGCATAATTGCATAATTGGAATATATGTAAGGATTCCTACTCCGCTCACTGCAAACACACACACACACACACACACAAACAAGGCTATGAGGCACAAAAATAAGTTTTACGACGCAAAATATTTACGTTTGAAAATGCCTGCCAAATAGCAGTCATTTCAAATGTTCCTTTTTTTTCCCCTGCAAAACTCATATCAACGTTTACATCTTTCTAAAATAATGACTTGCTATCTCTGGCTCCCAGATAATTAATTTTATGCTCTCCTATGAAAAATTATTCTACAAGAGAAAAGAAAGAATACCTTTGCTGGGTGTCTACTGGAAGCCAGGCCCTGCCCTTAGCTCGTTTCGTCTTCACAGTGAGCCCGTAAGAGACTTTATTTGCCCTGGAAGCCAAGACCTCGCCCCTGAGGACCACGAAAGGGCTCTGCTTCGACTATCTGCTGACGCGGAAGCTGGCTGCCACCAAAAGGCTGGCACGCTCCTGATTCCAAAACCATACTCTTCGCTGCACATAAAATGTTTATTTATTAAGTTTGTGGCAAAGTCTGTGCCCCCTATTGACGGGGGCAATAAAACAGCTCTTCTCCATGCTGGTACTCACCCTTCTTCTGTATAAAAATCCTCAGCAGGGGACTGGCCGTGGACACAGCTCTGTGGTAATTATCATCGTTATTTATAGGCAGTAAGTCTCCGTGGATGTCCGCGTAGCCCACTAAAACGTCAACGTTGGGTATCTTATGAACGTGCTGCAGTAATCCATAGAACTCCTCAAATTTTCCGGGTTTTGATCTTTCCAGTGAAAACCGACGAAATTCAGCTCCAAACTACGAATATAACAACCACATTAGGATTTTTTTTTAAAAAAGTAATGACTCAATTTGAAAATGTAAGTCGTAAAAAAAATTAGCATAGTATTTCTCCTAATAAAGAGGATTAAGGGAAAACCTTAATTTGGGGCCAGCTGGCAGCACAGCCGTAACACGGCATGGCACTGTCAGTGACCACAGGAGGGTCCCACGGCCACGCTGGGGGCCTCACTAGGACGCTGCACATGCGCTTATGATCCAGGCTGGCCAAAGTGCGGGTGGACTGTCGGGTCAAGCTGTCTTTCTGTTTATGTCTCTTTTACTTATGGAAGAAGTAAATGAAGCTTTTTGTGGGGAAAAAAAAAAAAGAGTCTGTTGCCAGAATCTCATTATCAGGAGATAAAACAGAACAAGAACGGCACAAGAAAGCGCCTCTCCACTGGTCTCTGGAGGGCGTCCCCTTTAGGAGAGGCAGGCTGGACGCCATCCCTCGGGGACCCGGTACTCCGCTGGGGACTTCCTGCACGGTGACTCAGCTCAAACCCTGCCGGAGGCCCAGCTCTCACAGTACACTCTCCTGACTCAGTCGTGGAGACAAGGATGCGCCCAGGCCTTTATTCTGACCAGGAGCGAAAAGCATCTAAGCTTCCTCTGCTGTAAGAGTAACTAAAATTTCCAAATGTAGCAAGAATCGTTACCAAAAATACAAACTACAAAAGGGAGACTTTGGGCTTCTGGGCGTTAGCATATGACAGAGCTGGAGTAAACCCTAAGACAGAGGTCTAGAGATCAAACATCTCTCGCCATGAGAACAGCAGCTTTCTCGTCCTGAGTCTGCATCCTGCCGCTGCCCCTGAAGACCAGGTCCTGCTTCTGCGCCTCACACAGTGCTGGGCCGCTCCCCCTTGCCAATTAGCGGTGAAGAGAGTAATTACTGCACGGAGGTATCCAGGGATCCCACAGGCAAGGGGAAGGCGAGGTCCGGGTGCCGGATGCCATGCCACCAAGCTGGTTCTCAGCCTGCTCCCGACACCTTGTGCTCCTAACGCCAAAACCTTCGCGTGGCTTTCACTGGCACCACGGACCGACTTCCTCGAGGCCACAATATGCAGGATTTAGACCTTACTGTGGGGCCGGCTCGGCCTCTCAAGTGTGGAGTCCTATGAGAGGTCAACCAGCCTTCCCCCAAGAGTCCCAGTCACAAAACTTGGAAAGGCTTTGTAACCACGACCGCCCCCTAGGAACCACTGTGGGCTCAGGCAAGTCCTAAGGTTGGTTTAAAAACATTGTTTTAGGACACGGTCTCTCTTCGCTGCGTTCCTCCTGTTTGAGCCTCCTGAGTGGCTGAGGCTGAGTCCCATTGGCCTCCCATGTGGCCTCAGCCTGCTGAGAAGCAGCATCAACCGGTGCCCACAACCGCAACTAGGCCTAAAACGTTTTGTAAACAAACGTTTGCCAAGTATGTTGACCACTGACCTTGTTTTTCCTCTAAATATCATCATGAGCAAGAAATCCTCATGTCCCGTGGGCATCACCCAGAGAAAGCGACGAGTTGGTACCCTGAACAGCTTACACGTGTCAACTCGTTTTCCCAGAGGCCCTGTGAGATATCTAGATCCATTATTTTTGATCTGTCTCCTCTGCCTTGCTCAAACCCATACTTGTTGGTTTTAAATAAAAAAAAAAATTCACTAAGACTAGAACTGGCAGATGGTGTGGTTAAGGGCACTGGATTTCCATACAGCTGACCGCCGTTCGAGTCCCGGACCCAGCAACTTGCTTTCTCCCTGTCTCTCTTGCTCGCTCTGTCCCTCTCTGGTCAATTTAAAATAGATAAACAAAAGTTAAACGATTATTAAAAAAAAAAAAAAAAAGAAACTCACTAAAACTACCTCTAACTCCTACTAAATAATTAAAATAGTTTCCAAAACACATTCCTGACATATAAACACTAACATTTGCCAAGAAAATAAGGTGACTCAGACTTAAAGCTCTCAAAAAGTTTAGTCACACCTTCACATTACAAAGTAAATAAAAACCCAGGTAACACCCTTCCTATCAGAGCTGGTCTTATGACGTTATCAAAAGTCAGTTTCTCCTCCATTTTCTTTATTTAGGTACCATGACATAAGGTGGCTGATGCGTTTCTGATTCATCCACGGGGTTTATCAATTCCTCGATATATAAATGGGAAAAACACTTAATAATTTAACACTTTAGGGTTTCAATGCTTTTGCTAAAGGTTTTGGGTGAAAATTCTTCATTGGACTTTTTTTCTTCTTGCTTAACCACTGTGATGAAACCATGGAAAACCGTATGGCTTCACGTGCCCTTTTGCGAATGTTGGCAGGGGGAAAAAAAACAAGAGAAACTGTTATGCTTCTTGAAGCAAAACAATAGGATTAAATAAAGTTTTGACTATCTAAAGAAAAGTACTAAGATTGAGAAAAACTTCAGGCCCAATCAACTACATGAACCATTTAGAACTTTTCCTAGTCTGGTCTAGTCTGTCAGCCATCCAGAACAACTCCTACCCCCAGAGTCTGTTGGCACATTCTAGAAATGCAAACTTCATTTTAATATCCTATTTGTGTATGGAAAATAATTAGGAAAGTTTATGGCATAGAGACTGTTCCAAGGTTATTAAAGGGCACCACGATGATTAGGAACTTTCTCAACTCTAAAGAAACAATTAGGAAGATAAATCAGTTACCAAAGAAGTCATAAGACAGCTGATATCATAAATTTAACTATAGTGAGGTTTACATTTCCCCTTATTTTCGTTATCTGTTATCATTTTTCCCTTCTATGCCCAAGGACAATAAACTTGACACTCCTGTTTACTATGCAGAAGGGAATAAAATGCAGAGATCCTAAAACAGGGATCTGCAGCCTAGTTTGGTTACAATCTTGTGGACTGTTTTGTAAAAAGCTGCAGTATCACTAAAGCAGTGTAAGAGGAAACACTGTTTCAATCATCTGTGCAAGTATCTCTTAAACTGTTAAGTTGACAAATGTTTTATTCAATCCATTAAAAATAAATGTATCAATTTAAAACATAAAGGGTCAAAGACATCCTGGAAACAGTTCTTTAGAAGCTCTATCAACAGGCAGAGAGGCCCCTCCCTGCTCTCACTCTTTCTCAAGAATGCTCCGATTCTGTTTGAGACATGGGTCGCTAAAAGTGCAGTCTGGCAGGTCAAACACATAACAAGCACGGTAGACCCAAGCATGTGCAAGGTTCAGAAATCAACTAACAACGGAGAAAGGCAAAAGCCCAAAGTGTAAACCCCAGGTGCTCACGGTTTCCTAGTTCTCAATACAAATCACTGTTGGACTGTATGTAACGGGGTGCGCAGTCTCTACTCATTTTTTCCTATGATAAAATACTAAAAACTTACTACCAAAATAAGGACGATACACTGAATCTCAGGATTATGCAATAGCACAAGTGTTTTCTTTTTCCTTTTTTTTTAAAGAGAGATTTCTGTTATAGGGCACATGTGCTTGCCAGAGAGGCAGAAAGTGAGAAATAACCCCCAGGGGTAATGGCATCGCTGCAATCCCATCTCCTTCAGTCTCCTCTCGGGATTTTGGGCACGCATGCACACATGCCAGGCGTGAGTTTGAAGCTATTAGGTCCAGGACTTGAACCACAGTAGGCTATGTGGGACTCCAGCAACATAATCATTATACCATTTGCTGGTCCCACAGTGTTCTTTTCCTCAACTCCCACAAACCCAAACTAGATTTCTAACAGAAATGCTAAGTCCCAGAAGGGCAACCACTGGGCGTGCGACTATGACCACTACACTACTGCAGGAAAGGGTCATGTATTTTGCCTCATCTTAACCCTTTGGTTAAAGCAAGGCACTTCAATTTGCCATGCTGTGTCCCATGGAGGACAAGGGGAGGAGCATGTTCTTTGTTTTTAAATAACTATTTTATTTAACTTTATTTATTTATTTATTTATTTTCATTTGACCAGAGAGAGAGAGAAAGTGAGAAAGCAAGCCACCAGGTCCGGGACTTGAACTATAGTCCACCATGTAGGAGTCCAGTGCCCTTAACCATCATGCCACCTACCAGACCCAAGGGTAAGAGCATATTCCTTACACAGCTACAATTACATTTAAAAATTTCTTTCATGAGAAAGTAAGAGACAGGTATCCCCAATGAGGTCTTCATGTTGCAGCCCATCCCCAGGCTCGGCTGACTTGAATTACAGGCATGGGTGACTAGGTCTAACATGTTCAGGGAGAACCTGGGACATGAACCCAGGACCCCTCCCCATGTCAGCTCAGTTGTATTACCAGGATACCACCACCTTGGCCCTGCAATCACATTGCTATAGTGCCTATCCTGGTACAGGAGTTCTTAATTTGCAAGTGACATTAAAAATGAGGTTGAAGGGGAGCCAGCAGTTAGCGTAATGGCTATGTCGCTGGACTCCCATGTAGTCGACCGAGGTTCGTGTCCCGGACCCGGTGGCTTAGAACTCACGCTGGGCGCATGTGCGTGCGTGCCCAAGATCCCGAGAGGAGAATGGAGGAGAAGGGATTGCGGCGTGACCATCCCCCCTGGGGGGTGAGTTCTCGCTTTCTATCTCTATGTCTCTCTCTGTCTGTCTGGCAAGTGCACACGCCCTATAGCGAAAACCTCTCCCCCCACAAAAAAAAAAAAAAAAGAAAAAAAAATGAGGTTGAAGCAGCTGGATCCCATGGGGCTAACTACTCGGTTCAAGTCCTGGACCCAGTGGTTTGAAAAACAGACCAAGTACATGTGCATACATGTCCAAAATCCCAAGAGGAGACCAGAGGAGGGACTGACTGCAGTGTGGTCATCCTCCTTGGGGACTGATTTCTCATTTTCTCTCTCTCTTGCTCTGTCTCCCTGGCCAGCACACACTCCCTATAGTGACACTATACATACGTGTGTGTGTTAAAAAGCGAAGGTAGATTTTTCTTGATGTGATTCTCAGCTACAGAAACTTACAGAACTTACACAACCATTCTCCCCACAGGCTCCAAGACGCTTCCCTTACTCTACTGTACTTCACGCAAATCACACCTGGATTCTGCATTCTTCCTAGAAGTCTTGCCATTCATAATGGTTTACTATTTTTGAAGTTGATATGCTTTTACTTTTTCTTTTGGTTGTTTTTGGCCTTCTCAATTCTATTTTCCATTTTCTCTGGATGCAGTCAATATCCTGTTTTATATTCTATAGTGTAAGAAGGTTTTGGCCAAGGCTTTGTAAAAGCAGCACTTGGAGGAGTGGTAACCTCAGTCTTCCCAGAGAAGTGAACTAGAGTAAGCCTCGTTTGGCTCTTCAGCCCATGAAACGCTTGCTGAAAACATCCCACATCCCGTAGCTGCAGATCACCTTCAAATTCCAGCTCAAAGCCCCCTTTGGAAAGCATTCCCTAACTAATCCCTACAGACTACCCCGCTCATCGAGCCTTGGGACTTAGGAATTCAGTGGATACCAAAGTAATTATCAGCAGATCGGCATACCGTTGGCCAGGGGTGAAAGCACTTGATGTGAAAGGGGGCAGGATGGAATGAAAAGAGCATCTAGATGCGACTGTAAAGTGCTACTCCAGGTAAGGCGACAGCGCTAATTTTATAGATTAAGCGCATACCAAAGTCAGAGCTAAACAGCCCTAGCAGGAAGCGAAGCTAACTTTAGGAGGGCCGGTTGGTTCACTGGGCTCTCTCCTTCGCACCCTTGAACCTCAGAAAAGGGTAAAACGGTGTGACCACGGGGTGTTGTTCCCAGTGCCTTTGACTCAGCGCCCAGCGGGCAGAATCCCACCTGGCCCTCGCACGTTCCGCATCCTCGGTACACGGTGGCCCTTACTCCCATTCTTGCCGACAGGGCTGAGATCGAGGGAAGGAGATTAAGGTCTTCCTCCCACCTGGGCCGAATGCAGGCACGAGATGCCCCCCCACGCACACCGTCGCGTCCCTTTCTTCCCAAGTTTATTCCGCCCAGCCCGTCCCCGCCGTCCCAGACCCCGGGGCAGCTCAGGCCATCGCCCCCCAGCCCTCCGTGTCGGCCGGGCAGGGCCTCTCCCAGGCCCCGGGCCCCCGCTCGTCCCCCCGGGCCCGCGCACCTTGCTCTTCACTTCCATGGTGCCCAGGCAGCCGCTGCCCGCCCCGTGCCGGTGGCTGCGGTTCATGCTGAGCGCCGGGACGCGGCGGCCTCCTCCGGCCCGGCC